CCAACGACTCGAACGCAACCAAACCAGGCTTTAATTTGTCCCATAGAAATTCACGCAATATTCCATGATTTTTTCTGTGCACCGTCATCCTACATATTTCCTCCGTAGTTTCACGGAATGGGTACAACGATTTTGTGCACAGGTGGACCGCGGCGAGTCGGTTAATTATTTCGCTTACCTTTTTCCGGGGGCCATCGTATTTTTCTTGAAGAACCGGCTCAGTTTCCTCGGAAACTGCGAAAAACGCGGGAACGCAAGTGACTCTGTAGCCAGGTCGAGCTTAATCTTAACGCGGTTCCCGTTTTATTTCAACCGGATTATTTCCTGTCGTATTTCAGATTGGGATTTACCCACCATCGTTCCTTTTGTATTAATAACGATTCCCCTTTCCTGCTCCCTCCTATATCCGGGACGTATTCCCATTCTCATGCACATCCACCCCCTGGCTGTGTTTGTTTATCGCAATCCCAAAGTGTAGGGGTACGGCCAAATCTTGGGATTAAGGACAACGGCCAGGTGACTGTCTCGCTTCTTTCCTCGCTTTACTATCGCGGAACCGCCCTCGTCTATGAAGCGAGATCGTTTTCTGAAGCGTAATCTGCTTGAAATTGGACCACGGGGGAAGAGATCGTGCGTGCCGATAGAAATTCCTTCGCTTTCGTCTCTTTCACCCTGTTTATATGCCGTACATTTGATTAGAAAGAATTAGAGAGGCTTGTAAGGACAAGTCTGGTTGCTGGAAAAACACGACGCAAGTGTTGTAAATTAGGATTATTTATTAGGAACTCGAAGAGAAAAGTTATAGAATTTTTTGGTCAATTGGGCGTGGAGAAAAAATTGCTAAAGCTTGAGTACGAAAATCAAAAAGAACATAAGAAGAATTCTGCTTTCTTAACTTTATTCTTGAATTTCGTATTCACGATATATCTATAGTTTTATACCTCTATATTCGAAGAAATCAGACTGAATATAATATTCTTTGCAACAACAGTATATGTATACAATATCTTAAAATTTTCGCCAATGAATATAAATTCAAGGGGCAGTTAAGTGATTCAAACGAACGAGTGTATCGCCTCATTCGAGTTTCCGAACTGTTTTAATTCATTATCGATAACATTTTCAAGTTATTTCGTTGCTAGAATTTAGTTAATATCAATTTAGAACATTCGGCACGGCAAATAGAAATTAGGAGCAAACGTGACGAGTCTAGCAAACTGGCGATTATTCTTAGGGATGATTGGAAGGCAGTAAACAGCGAAAATGATTGGGAGATGAAGGGAGCGATCGCGCATTAGGGTTCTTTCCCGTTCAGTTATTGTTCGAAGCATGATTCGAGTCTTCGTGACTCGAGGCCCATGGGTCGAAGGTGAGGGTTAATGAATGAATCGCCGGATATTCACGGTACAGCCACAAAGGAGGCAAGTCGAGCCACCGCGAAGACAAGGCCTCCCTTAATTAATATAGATTACTTCTAATTGTATATTTACCTATTAATTCATATTAACTCGGGGAGTAGGGCCACCGAGAAACGAATCGTCTTCGACTGGCTGATTCGGCTTAATCGACCAAAGGGTTGTAAATTGATTGATGTCTCATTCTCTATTCGTCTCTTTTCGTCCAGGGCTTCTTGTCGTCAATTGCATCATCGACTATGACTTTCCGTTTTCATTCTAACGAATTAACTCCATCTTCCTCGGACCCTGATAATCGCGTCATCTGATCAAACTCTCAGCTAGTAATCAAATCGTCTAACCTAGGCGAGAAAAGTCGATCGTTTTAAAATACACTCGATTTTCATATTATATGCAATAATATAATTATTATCGTTATTAAATTGATCTACTCGCATGTATGTCTTAAAAATTCACTTTATAAACGGCACTAATTCATGATTGCATTCAGTTAAATGGGCTGATTAATCCTTGATTTATAAAGTCCATTCATAGATTATGATATATCTATTGATTTTTCTCGTATTCTTAAAATCATGCTCATTTCATAATCTTAAACTAGAAAGAAGAATATACCATCGTGGTTAACATAGATCTGTCCCTTGCACAATTACCAAATTGCCTAACCTAAAAACGTAAGTACAATCGTGTCCAAACGATCATTTGACAATTGCTTCTGCGTAATCTTCACGACATGCAGTGTCGCCAATCGAACCGATGAGCACGCACCTAACGAACGAAAGGCTATCAAGGGATTCGCGGTTGTCTCGCTATTCTGTTAATTGAGAACCCCTGCAGCGACACGGAAAAAGAGTGAAGATAAGTTAGAAGAGAGGTTCACCTATCGGTATCGGGGGCGCTCGTTCCCCGTGAAGAAGCGAGTTCGAAATGAAAGCCGCGACTTATCCTCGGACTCGGCTTCTGATTGAATGGCTGCGCCGGAGGCAGTCGACGGGGAGGCAGAAAAGAACTACGAAGAAAGAGAGGGAGATCTCACATCCCTCTCTGTGCATGAGAAGACAGAGAGAGAGACAGAGAGAGAGAAAGAGAGAGAGAGAGAGAGAGAGCACGTTGCCGCGAGAGCGCACGCGGCATTTGATATCTGAAATCCCCAATATTTTTAAAAGCACAGGGGCTGCTGCTCCGGACTGCTGAGGAGGAGGGGTCTCGAGGAGCCGTCGTTTTGCCCGATCTCAAAGGCGTACGAGCCTTTCCACGGCCATTAAAATACGAATAATAATTATAAGAGCGACGGCAGAGTGATCAGTCCGCTCGCAGACGAAGCGATCGTCCATATCAGCCAAACGGGGGCCCCCTTTCTTACGCTGCCACCACGTTTTTCCTGCACCTCTTTTCTTCTTTCTCTTCATCCCGCTTCTTCAGAAACGAATGCAAAGCTGAATTTACAACGGACAGAAAAGACCAATCGGATGGTCGTCGTTATTTCACCGTAACCCACCAAATGTGTTTGATATTCGTTGGACGATATGAGAATAGTATTTTCCAAAATAGCAACGGCGATAACGAATTACTCGATTTATATTGAATCCATTATTTCGTAAATGTTCTTCTATCGTTTATCGATCTAGGATTTTATGGTTATTTCCAATATTGTTCTTTTACTTTGTAAAGACTAGATCTTGACATTTTTTAATTTTCCATTATTTTTAATCTCTATTGTAGGTCAGGTGATAAATTATTTGCTTAAGAATCACTTTAAATTTTTTACTTAAGAAAACTAAAACCGCTTATATTAAGTTTGTAATTGAAGATCTTTCTGAGGGAGTTGCCGTAAGATTGCAGTAACTTCAGCTTAAACGATTATTTCTGCTTCGAAAAGACACTGTATATTCTTGAAATATAGACAAATAAAAGTAAAGACTCACAAGATGATACGTGGAATAAATTTATTATAAAGAAGAGCCAAAAATTGGCACGGCTTAAAAGAATTTGCGTTCAATTGTCATCATCGGTACTTTCAAGCAAGGTTTTAATTTCTGTTCGCGCTTATGCGTTGGCACTCGTAAAACGCTCATTCGCGGATCGAGTTCGCTTGCGATTATTACAGCCGCATTTATACAGGGTGAGCCGTGCGACATCGTTGTTTTGATTCTTTGCAACGTAGGCGTGAAAGTTTCTTTCTTTCGAATGTCTGCATTCTCTTCCACATGATTTTTACATCTTACTATTTATATATTTTAGTTTATAATCTGATTGTTACATTCGATTAAATTAATTATATATCATTTCGTTGCAAAAGCGTATTGGTATTAAGGAACAAGAAGATTTAAAAAATAATGTAAAATATTTTCTAGGAATCCAATATCTCACTTCCAAACTGGGAAAAGGAATGTGCAAGTAATTAACCTGCATACCTATCCCTCAGTGTAATGATCCAATAAAAGCAAATTCCTCGTCAGTTTACTAATAACGTGCAATCAAAGCGTTCGAGTTGCACGAATCACCTTGTATATGGGTGTGTTAATCAGCGCGAATCGCTTTTTTGGTAATTCCGCGGTGGATAGCTAATAAAATCCCATGCGGTATTAACGAGGATCGAAGTAATATCGTGGTAGGCATCAGCGGGGGTCTGGGTAAACCAGGACGATTACAAAGTTCTAAATTATTTCGCGAATTGGTTAATAAACGTGCGTTCGTGGCACGGTAAAACGCACGTAATTAGTATCGAAGATATTCTTTGCTGCTTTCGCTATTGGTCATTAGCATGTTTGAAGTATAAAAAATCTCTAGGACTTCGCTTAATTTCTTTTCTGGATCGTTAAACACTGAAAACATTTAGCCAGGACAATAGATTCAATTTGATGGGAGAAAATGTTTTCTTTGTGGTATTGGAAGAATTTTATTAGCAATCTTAGCATAGTAAAGTTGGAGTGAAGGTTAAACGCTCTCAGAATGTTCGACCCGTTCAAATATAAATTTTCGAAGTGTTTGACGTATTTCGATCGAATATTTATTAATCGTAAAGCATGATCTTCAGTAGGAAAAAGTTAAAAGTTAAGTAGAATCTTCCAAAGCGTGAAACAATCTCAGGTGTGCTTGATATATTCGTTTCTACTGACGCGTACGTTGCGTTGATTCAATCGTCTGATTTACATTTACAAACGACTCTAGCGAAGTAGCTAATGTTCTTTTGAGTCTATGTGTTTCGACGGAAAGCTCTAAAGCAAGCATCGTATCAAATTTTTAACATGTGACAAACTCCATTGTGAATTTTACTGTAGACCGCAAACTCAAAGAACACCAGAAAGATGAATATTCTTGTGCTTTAATGCACGTTAATTTATCGGAACTCGAAACGATATGCATCGTTTCGAATATTCCTACAGGTATACGAATACTGAGAATTTATCACAAATTATATTAAATACTAAGCATCCGCGTACGAATACCGCGTGTGCACAGCCGACATAAAATCCTCTAACCATGAACCCAACGTTCCACGATCGTTAATCCAACGCAATCTTGCTCGAATCTCAAAGTCGAGACAAAGAATGAAAAATTTTTTACGGCTTTCTATCGTTACAGTGACTACCCGTGTGAACGTCCAGCTGTAGCTCGTCGACGATACGATTGGTCGAAGAAGAGTGTCAGCTCCGAACGTTGCTATTTCATCCAACGTCCTGAGCCATAATAATAGAAGAGCATCGAGCCTAATTACGGCCGATACACATGTGACCGCTCGTCGAGGCTGCTAGAACGCTAGGTATCCTTAAAGGCACATCCACACGCCTTGGAGTGTCGCCCGAGCGAGCGTCTGCCCGCGATTGCTCGTTAGCGGAGCCACGGCCCCGTGTCTGTCACGAAATCGCTGATTATCATCGTTCAAGGAAACCACCGACGCTACGTCGCCTCCTAGCTCTCGTATACCAGCCATCGCGGTCATTACTTACTTATGCCACGGACTGGTAGCCTTAGAAAAGCTGTTGTCCACTGGCGCAGACCGCTCGATCTAGTTTCGATTTTCTCAACGAGCTTCCTCCTGGACAACTCTAACTAACGACCGTACATTCTACTTTGCACCTGCCACGGTAAGCTTGTGACTTTTATTTGTAAACTGAAATTACTCGAAATCTTCTGCCTTAATTTGAATTGATTATTCGGTCGTTGGTGTTCGCCGCAATTGAACGTGTTTGTAAATCATGGAAGAGTTAATGGAGGATATTAAATTTTAGAAATTCCCCGTTTGGATTGATGTAGACGAAATATCGAAAAACCTTCGACTCCTTAATTTCTCTATTTATATATATACATATTTGACGCGGCTATTAACCCCACTTCGAACGAGTCGAAGGGGAGTTTCAGGCGCGATCAGCGAACTCTGAAATCGTCGGAGATCGTTAACACTTACGTGAACTATAAACGCGCCGGGGGATCGTTAACTTATTGTAAACTGGCGCAGAACTCGCAATTTTAATGATCCACCGACACATGAATATGAATCTTGCAAATAACCCGTGCAACGAATACCTTTCCAGTTAACGTATACACGTGTAACTATTGAAAAAACATTCGGCCTCGACGTACATGTAAGTACTCTACGATCGTGATGTTCGATCGAACGTTTTAAGAAAGTGAAACGAGAACGAAGCGGTATAAGAATGGCACAAAAGGAGCGGGGGAAGAAAAAGGAGGAAAAAAATGGTTGCGTTTCTTGTTCTGAAAAAACAAAACAGACGCGAGTTTTAGAGAGTCCTTGGCACGAAACGTTGACGGAAGCAGCTTCTGTGCGCGGTCGAGAATGAAAAACCGCTTCTACGCTGCTGGCCTGGCTGGATCCGCGACGCGTTCACACATCGGTTGTCACCCGTGCACGTGTGAACATGGCGACACAACCCGGAATTAGGGAAGACGCTTATTATTTCAAGGTTCGGTTCGCTTGTGCATCAAATAATCAGTCGCGATGCGTTACACTAGATAAGTCCGTGAAAAAGTAGGCGATTAGACGCGGGGAAGGACGCGCCACTGACAGGAAGTAACTCGGATTAATTTCGCCAAGTAAAGCATTGTCTGCCTCGTTCTTTGTTCTCCTTCTCTGACGGCGAATTTATTGGAACTGACGTGACTTCGTAGCGAACTACTGCTTCCGAAGAAATTCTATTATTTTATCGTCCCTCCGTTAGAAACATGGAAACGATCGTTCAGTTCAAAAGGTTGTTGCGATATCTCGTGATGAATTAAAACGACTCTTATGATTTAAGGCAGATGCAAATTGAAAGCATTAAACAAATCGAGCATTGAAGATGAGTTTACTTTATGATATCTATCGATAGGCGTTTGCATGATTATGTGGGTATAATAATCGTACAACAAACATTGTTTCGACCGTTCGCGGAGAGACGCGATCTCGAAGAAGCGCGTGAACGGGAGTCGTAAATTCCCGTTACGATTCGAATAATCGACGCCACGAATAGATCGATCCCCTATTTCGATTAGGATAATAGGGGTGGTTGAGTGAGTATAACGCTGATTTTAACAGGTTATAATATTATATTTTCAGCAATTGAACTTCAATATTGGATACAATTGTGTGTATGTTGATTGCCAAACTACGAGTGAGTATAACCTGAGACCCTTCTCGTGTTGGCGACTGCGTTTTGACTTTGACTATTGTCGAGATTTGACTGTGACTGCTGAGCTCTGACTTTTGTCGATTGACTGTTTTCGATTTGGCGACTGTAATGACTGCAACGAGTATCCTGGAGCGAAGCGTCAAACGAAATATAGGGATGTTTGTAAGCAAAAGAATTCTATTCTTTTCTCAGTAGGATTAAGATATTATAGATTTGGGTTTTTTATATATATTTTAGATTCCTTTTAAGACGCGAGGTTTAAATGTTCAAACTCTTCGAACTTTGAAATAATTCTGTTCTTGGTTTTTAATCCTTACATCCTCGGTATAGCTGATATTAAAATATGTATCCCTCCTACGTCGTATAAATTAGTAAAATGTATTAACAGAGTCAGCAGTTAGCAATATTGAAATCAAACTCGTTTTAAGAGCGAGCCGAGACGTCAGCTATTCCGGTAATAGATATGAATCGTTCGTATAAATGAAGATTTCGATTAAACGTAGAAGAAGGTCCAAGAAAGTTTGATGTAGGGTCATGAATCATTTAGCCAGCCAGGACGTATCAGGGTTTCAAATAACGATGCTTTGGAATCACCCTTCTGAAAACGTCAGAACGATTCCTCTGCTAGAACCCGCATATCGGTCAGGGTTAGTCTTTCGGTAGCAAGTCAGCTTGACAAATGCTCGGTAACACCCTCGATCTCTCTGATCCTCTTTCCTCGAATGTGAATCTTCTAGCCGGGAAGCAATGAAGCAGATACTTTTTCTTCTATCAGATACTTTATTACTTTAAGAAATAGGACATAGAGTTCATGTTTTCTTAATTAACCATTTTTTATTATATCTATTTTATCGTTAAGATATCATTGAAAGGTTTGCAGTAATATTTCTATTATTCGTTAGCGCTTATGAACGCAGGATTTTATTTTTTTTTTTTTTTACAAAATTTATCGATACGCTGTGGATTTTTATATAATTCATGGTTTTCTTAATCCGACATTAAACTTGCAAAACTTTCAACCGATTTGTATATTTTCTAAAATTCATACGTAGATACTTTCTCAAATTGCTGTATCATAAATATTATACGTTCTTATATTATCAAAATTCATACGGTCAGCAATGTATTGGAATTTAATTCGAAGTTAAATTGTCACGTAATGAGACTCTGACGTTTCGAGTGAAAATGAGAAGTAACGAAATCATTGTATATAAAGATGGAGAAACACAGATAGACACGATTGTCCGCGTATAAAGGTCTCGGCGAAGGCGGAGAAGGGCGGAGGGACACAAAAGCGGAAAAAGAAAGAAAATAATTCCTTCGGATGGGTTTATTTACGGCTCACCTAGTACGGTTGCGTCCCGTACGTGTTGGGTGCCGATTCGTTCTTGCTTTCCATCCGAGAGCCAAAATCCCCGTGATACTCACAATACATAAGGGAGAAAAACAACGATCGTGATCGTGGAATAAAGTAGACAGCACGGCATAGGGATGATGTATGGCGAAATATACAAAGACACGTTGTCTCCCGTTATTTACGTTATTGTGTGCCGACATCTTTCAACTTTAATAAGAATGGGACTTTGAAATTCCGCGTGTTGAACGCGACACGCTGAACGAATTGCCATTGGTAATACTATGTTATAGCAAACGTAGCATCAGCAACCATTGAACCGGTCAACTCAGATTTAACGTAACTTCCTCTTCTTTTTTTCGTTTGCTATCGAGATATGAATTAGATAAATTGAATCGCTTGGAAGAAATATTTCCTTCAATAAATATAATCGATTTCTTTGATTTTGATGCGAAGGATATACATTGAAGATGGGTTTTATGTTTCAGAAAAATCTAGCTACCAATGGAAGCGTATGAAATTTCTGTCTTTAGGATAACATAGAAAATAGTCTACATTCATCCATATTTTAATATACTTATCCATAAGTTATTGTGAAGTAGTTTTGAACATTCTTAAATATTTACGAGCAATTTAAACTTCAAACTTGGGAACCTCGACGCGTAAAAGTATGCTGTTCTCTAAAAATTGCTCAAACTATCGATGAAGATAAGGAGTATAAATCGGGAAGGAGTCTCCGTGTCCAGACGGTTCTTCGATGTTAATTTAGCCGAAAGTTCACGAGAACAAATTGGCAAGATCAACCAGCAGAAAAAGTTGCTGGAAGAAGTTAATCCACGTGAAAGCCAGACTAGGTTAAGTCCACCAGGTCAAAGGATTTCTGTTGATCGATCGAAGGATCTAGCTTTATCGACCTCTCCTTCTACTATGGCTTCTCGTTGGCTTTGTACGGTAATACGACGGAGAATCACCAAACCGTATTGCAAATCCTATGTTGCTCGCGATAATGAGTTTTCCAGCACCATAGTCTTTAGTTTTGGTCAAATAGTTTAAACATACATGATTTTTAATTATGTGATAGAAATTGAATTTATGTCACATTATTTTTAATTATGCGATAGAAATTGAATTTATGTCGCAACGTTATTAATTACGAAGAAGACAAGAAGCTTCCCGTTATTTCCTATAAAAATTAGGTTAAAGTTAATAGCCAAGCATATTTTTATTTCTGGGTCTCACGTTCTACATTTACATCGCGGCTGATGTTAATCTTTCTATTTCCTAATCCTCCCTTTCTCCCTTTCTTTCACGCATTCGTTTACTCACACGCTGTTCTGCTTTACGTAAACTCTAACTTTCTACACATGTAATAAAATTATTATTATTATTACATTAAATTGATCAATCCACGTTTCAAGCGAATTATCAGCGCAGCTAATTGTAGGTCACGATTCCGTCGATCTAAACAAGCCTGATTAATCCCCGATTTTAAAAAGAAGATATCTTTGACAATGATAAATATTATTCTAAGGACACCTGGATTGATTTTTTGTGTATTTTTAATACTATTGCTACAATGATTAAAAAATGATAAACCAGTTGACAAAAAAGCTGTCTACATACCATACTTATTACATCTTATTTAATGGATCACGAAGGACTGAAAATTCTTTCGAATGGCCTATAGAACAATTTAAACCCGAACTGATCTAAAGAAGCAACACGGTTCGTTCGATCCGAGTGATTTTGAAACGCAAATCGTCGCGAGTGTTCCGTCCTTTCCTGAAAGCGGTGAATGGGAGGAAACAACGGGCGATTCAACGACCTGGAATAGGAAAAGAATCTCTCTCTCCCGTTGTCCTCACCGCCGCTATTAGTCTAGCTGCTTCCATTAACGAGTACAGTAATTGCGACGAAGGTTTTCTCCTCCGGCGCGGATTAAATCGTATAATTCAGCTAGCGACATTCCAGGATTGTCTATCAACGACCGCGGGGGCACACGATCGCGGCTGCTTTCTCACCGTCACCGGAAGTAACCGCGAGAGGAGACGGCCGCTTGCCGAGAGGGGGCACCGTTAAAAACATAGAAAACGCAACAGATACA